CAGGGCTACACAGAGAAACCCTGTCTCACAAAATCAAACTAAACCAAAACAAAACTAGCCAACCAAACAACCAAACACCAACTTTGAAGGGTAGGGTTAACACTCAGTACTTGCCTAGCACAGGCTTTATTTCTAATATCGAAGAAAGAAGGGAAAAACACAAGATAGAGACTTGTTAAAAGTATTCCCCTCCTGTCAGGTTCAAAAGCAAGGGAGCCTGGTATCACTATTTCTAGTTTATTTGTGTTGCGTGTCCAGGCTAGTACAAGAAATTAAAGGCATTGGATAGGAAAGAAATAAGATAATGTGATGGATAAGATTGTTTTTATAGAAAATTGAAGAAATGCTTTAAGACAAACTATTGAATGTAAGGAGTTTGGTGAGACCACTGGAGGAAATACCAATATGCTTAAGTTACATATAAACAACGCAAGATAAACTGAAACACATAAATAAACTCATACAATGGTAACACAACTTACAGCTTCTACTAATAAACCTAACAAAAGAATTCTGAATCTTTTCTGGCTAATCGCTGAAATATAGAGAACACATAAATGAATAGAGAACTACAGTATTCCATTCTGCAGTAGTTTATTATTTTGATGATAAAAAGTATCTGCAATGGGAATGATCTATCCCTTAATATCAAACTTCAGTGCAATTTCAGACAGTATCCCAAAAGGTATTTTATGCTACTAAATTTTACATAGAAAATCACTATACTTAATTTGATGAATCAAGAACTAATAAATTTTTGAAAAAGTGAGAATCATGTTTATCAATTATTAAGGCTTAAAATAAAATTGTAGGACTGAAACAGTAATAGACATTAGGCAATAAAGCAGAAGATATTTTAATGAATGATTAATAAATGAATGTGTAGTAAATGGTTCTAAAAACATGATGCCCAGATAGAAAAAGGCAAAATCATTTCCTATCTCATCCTACACATGGAAATCAATTTTGTGTATAAGAAAAGTTTTGACTTCTGATTAGAAAATAAGATAAAACCATTATTATATTATATATTATTATATTAAGACCAATTAAATTGAAAATCTATAGATACAAACTTTTAAATAAAATGTTGAGTTTTTAAAGTAAGTTGGAGTCCAGTGGTGGTGCACATCTTTAACCTCAGCACTTGAGAGGCAGAGGCAGTGAGATCTCTGTGAGTTGGATGCAAGCCTGGTCTACAGAGTAAGTGCCTGGAGAGCCAGGACTACACAGAGAAACCTGTCTTGAAAAACCAGCCAACAAAACAAACAACCAAACAGAAAAGTAACTTGGAGGCTAGAGAGATAGCTTACTGGATAAAACATTCACTGCACATGTGTATGGACATGCATGTGGACCTGAATATCATCCCTAACACCCATGTTAAAATCTGGGTATTGTGGCCCATGCTCCTAATTCCAGCACTGAGGTGGTCTAGACAGGAGGACCTCCTGAAGGCTAGCCCCAGATCCAAGTGAGAGCCCTTGTCTCACAACAGCCTTTGAGAAGTAGCACCTGACATTGGCTCCAGGCCTCATGAATACACACACCCACACCAGCATGCATAACCCTCCCTCAACACAAAGAAAACCAGGTTAAAACTGGACATATCAGCTCATATTTACAATCCCAGCACCTGGGGGTGCAGAGAAATGAGGATGCTACAAGTTTGAGATCAGCCTGATCTACACAGTGAGTGCCAGGCAAGTCAGAGATACATAGTGAGACTCTGTTCTAACAAACCAAAAGAGGAAGTGGGGGCAGAAGAGAGGAGGGAAAATTAGGTTGGAAAATGACATGCAATATACACAGAGATGAATAAATATGATACCACAACATACAGATTACAAAGATAATCATCAATGAACCCATCGATTCAAACATCTACACAGAACATATAACAAGCATCAATGAGAGTCCAGCATATTGGCAAAAGGTTTGTTTGTTATGTGTACTGCAGGACTCTCTGTTATTATCCTGTTGGTTTTCCAATTTGGAACGAATATTTTGTACTTTATTGGGCAATTATGTATGGCTGATGTATGTATATGTAAAACACCTTAACTTGACTTTAACATTTCAGCTCTTTCCTCACCAGAAGAGCATATTGTTCCATTTGTTACCAAAAGCTGAATTATTTCTTCTCCTCACTGATAGCATATTTTCAGATGACTGATGCAAGCCCAAAGACTGGCTTGTGTAAAAGGAAATAGCTGAAAACGGAGGCCAATGCCTGTGCCATGCCTTTCTACCAAGCCAGTTGCTCAAATCTTTCACAGATACCAGAGTTGCCCCAAGAGGTTAGTTTCTAGGAAATCTCTAGGTTGCAGTGGGAGCAAATTGATGGTCAATATTGAATTGTAGTCAGATGACAGCAGACTATGTTTCTTTGACGAGGAGAATGGCTCAGAGCTGAGCTGTCTCATTACCCCTTGCCAAATAGTAGAAAAAAGTCTATTGACTTTTGACCTGGTATTTCACTTTGGTAGTTGGTCTATCTTATTCCTTTGTGGATTTAGTTATCATTTTGATGGATATTCCATCTTATTCATTTAGGGACTTAATTTGCATTATTTTTTTCCTTGTGGATATTGTTTGCAGAGAATGTGTGAGATACAGAGAGAGCTGATGTTGTAGAGCATAGCCTTTATTGAAGATTCTCACCCAGGTCACCAGCAGAGTACCTGTATGGTCCTTACAAAAACACAAACCATTACAGTTTAAACAAAACATGGATTTGCTTGCCTCGAATACAATGGGAAATTGTAATACATGAAACTCAGGGCTTGACTATTGCCTCCACAGTTCATGAAACCCAGACTCCCATGCTCCTACTACTATTTAGCATCAGGGTGTAAATCTTACCTTCATGCATGCATACTAGAAAACTGTTAGTGTTCTGGCCATTACAACTAATTCCCAAGCAGAAAGAAAAGGCAAAAATAGCCAGTGCAGAGGCAGCTGCTCTCTCACTAGCTTTCCTAGGAGTCTTCCAGTCCTGTTTGCTTCTATCATTTTCCAGAAACATGCTACTTGATCACCATGAGCAAGAAAGTGAGCACGTTGTGACTCAACAAAACTGGAAGATCTGTATGTAAATAAATAGAGAAAAGGTCAGGTGTTCAAGAGTCTAAGTCATCTAGTACACAAAATCAAGGGTAAAATACGGAGTGAGTTTTGTTCAGGTTAGGAACTTATGGCCAGGAAGGTGAAATTAGCCCATGATCTTTCTTGATGGTGAGCTGAATTTAGCCAAATGATGATGAGAGGTAGGGTGTGGGAGCAGAAAGGCCCTGTGCAGGGTGTGTGTGTGTGTGTGTGTGTGTGTGTGTGTGTGTGTGTGTGTGAAATTTCTCAAAGCAGGGGAAAGAGGAAACAAAGAGAGGGAAGGAGGGAGGAAGGAGGAAGGCTTTCCTCTGTGGCTTCTGGGAGTGTGAAGACAGGCAGAGTGACAGGTCCAGTGCTAGCTGACTCTACCTCTGATGATAACAGATATTATAGTATTGATGCAAACACATTGACATGTTGATTAATAAGAAAGGACAGAAAGTCCAGAAACAGACCCTTACATTGATTAAAAAAATAAAACAAACAAACAACAACAACAAACCTAAAACCTGATATTCTACCTAGTGGTTGTGTGGGAACCTGAAGCCTTGAGCTTGACAACTGCTCTACCACTGAGCTGCATTCCTAGGCACACACTGATTTTGACAAAGGCAGGCAAGGGAGAACAAAAAGTGTTGGCTTATTAAAACAAAACAACCTAACTCAGATGGGTAATAGACCAACATGTAAAACTCAAAACTATAAAATTAAAAATAAAACACAAAAACTATTTGTGATCTTGGGACTAGGAACTATTTCTTAAATCTGATGCCCCCACAAGTCCCCACAAACTATAAAAAAATTATAAAATGAATTTCAACAAAATTAAAAACTTCTCATTCCAAGATTCAATTAGGAAATAGAAAATAGGACACATAGATTTGGAAAAGGAGAATTTGTAAGGAAAATATTTGATAAAAATTTCTGCCCAGATAATATAGAAAGAACCTTGAACACATCCTAACAACTAATCTAATAATAAAATTTGTAGATAATTCTCCAAGGGGAGTTTGTGGTCTGCTGTTTACGTACATGAAAAATGTTGGGTACTGCTAATTGTCAGACACTAAAAAATAACACCGAACAAGAGATACCTATTATTGTAATTTAAATCTAATTGACAAGAGATACCTATTGTTGTGAGTCTGCTTAGTAATGCGCTCCTATAGGCTCAGTCCTGAGACAGGAAAAACCTCAGAAACAAAACAAAACAACAGTAACAACCAAAGAACAGGACGTTTCATACATTGCTGGTGAAACAGCCGCTGCCCTTGAGACCTGGCTATTCCCTTCCCAGGTGTCTGCACAAGACAACGCCTCCATTCACCCACAGACATGTACAGGAATGCTCCTGGAAGCTTTGTTTTTGATGTGGAAAAACTAGAAACAGCCTAAACTAATGTGTAACTGGCTGAATACAGTTTGGTACAATGGAATACTACTCGGAACCAAACAAGATTTGTGCGCATTGTAACACAAAAGGCCAAGTAGCCACGTCCAAATAATTATGTTGAGTGAAGGTAGCCAGTTAAAACTAACTATAATTGGTATGACTCGGCTTTCACACAGACTGCAAAACATAAACAAACTGAAACACAACAGGTTTTAGGTTAGGAAGGATTCCAGTTGGAGGGAGGTCCCTGCGGGAGGAGGGAAGAGTTGGAGGCAGGGCGGGCTTGGAACCTGGTGCTGGGTTGCGGATCCGGAAACGCAGCGAAGGTCAAGGGCAAGTGGGGTGCAAAGAGCAAGCGGATAAGTTAGGGAGTGGGGGTGGGGTGACGAACCAGCCAGAAGGGAGAGCAGGGAGGAAGAGAGGGGACCTGGCCGGAGGGGGAGGGACTGCGGGAGGGTGGGGGTAGGGTAGTGTGGGGAGGCAACCCATTGGTGGCTGCGACATGGCGCGCCTGCTGCGAGCACTGCGGGGCCTGTCTTTGCTGGAAGTTCCTGGGCGGCCAGCTCGGGGTTGTGCGGGGTCGGGACGCGGGGACTCAGGTAGGTCTTCTGTCGCCGCCGCCTCGTGGCTTTCAGTTTTACTGCCCTGGCTGACTCGGGGTCGCCTCCCGGGAGGCGTTGAGAGCCTGGTCCCGGTAACCCGCTGTCCCTGGGAGCCGGGGTTGTCGAGCACTGTGGTCTGTAAACTTGGTGTGTTGGGGGAACACTGATCTGGGAGAGAATCTCGGGAGGGTACAAATTCTGTACCACACTTGCACCCAGTTCGTGTATATGGTACATTTTAGTTCGTGCATAAAATCGTCAGTGTCAGGAGCCATAGTCAGGGACCCAGTGGTGGCCAATTGCGGGACATCGTGCCCAGGACGTTAACTCCTGAGCAGGAGGAATTAGCCCTTTGCCCGTACACCCCGCTTTCCGAGAACTGCCAGCTGGTGAGCTGCCTTCTGTCCTGAGTGAGCTGCCAACTGGCCCACTGCTGTCCCGTGGGTGCTTCCTGCCATGCTGTGTTGGTCTGTGTGGATCAAGGATGTGAGACGTGTTCTGATTATTCTCATGTTCCTACAGTCATTGTTAGTGTCTGAGGGACGGAATGGGAGTGGGGTGGAAAGTGCTTTTGGTTCCCCTTTGTGAGTTGAAACACTTACATCTTATGGAGGAAGGAGTGGGAGTCATCAATTTCATGCCCCTGTGATTTGGCACTGGGTAGCTGCTCTCTTGACCTCCTTTCTGCGTCCCTCCTCCTTTTCAACCCAATTTCATATATTATGCTGCTGAAGTTTCCAATTCTTTTGGTCTTTATAGACTTCTCGCTGCTTTAAAATTTTAGTGTTCAATAAATGTATGTCCTAGATTGTGGACTGTTAACTGATCCAACACGATTTCCAGTTAGAGCTTCTTTATTCCTTTGATATCTCAGGCAGACCCTGTGCAAGCCTGGTGGGCTGAAGCTGTGCTGATACTTACAGTTGAGCGATTTTAGTGGAAACTCCGTGGAACCGGTGCTGTCAAAAGCAGCCTGATGAATAGCCCTGGGAGCTGAGAGCCTTCAGCCATATTAAGTTTGGCCAGACACCAGTACATAGCTGGGGCTGTGTAACTGACCAGACAGCCCCTCCAGGGAGATTATTCTATGGAAATAATTCAAAAGAACAAAGCTGTATTGCAAAGACCATCTTAACAGCATTACTCTCAGGATGGGAAATTGGCCTCAGCCCAAACAGTTAAGCAATACTTAAGTAAAGCATGAAGGTCCAGGTCAACAAACTGCATCCATTAAGAATGAGAAGCAGGTGATGTTCTGTGGTTAAGGTCTCAGCTCCCTGCCTCTTACTGGCTTTGATGTTTGAGTGTGGGCATCCATAACAAATACTAAGTAGAGGCAATAAACAACACGGAGTTCTTACAATTTGGGAGGTCAAAGATCAAGATGATAGATTTGGTTGCCAGTGGGGACCCAATATCTGACTTGGAGATACCCACTCTCCTGTGTGTGCTCATACGAGTTTACTGCAGTGTGAGTGGAGAAAGAAACTTTGCAGGGCTTACCCCTTTCCTTTTTTTCTACGTTTGTTTCTCCCTGTCCCTCTTCCAGTATTGGAGATGAAGATATGACAGTCTTTAATGTGTATGAACTTAACAACGAAGTGTCAGGCTATGTTGTGAAAACTAGTTCAGGGAGAAAAAAAGACGAACCTACCATCGTGGCTAGCATGGAGATTTCCAGGTGGCTATTATAAATAGAGGTGAAATAGCAGGCCTGTCTACAATGGAAGGAAATCAAAGTTTGGGAGTGTGCACCGTGGGCTGGGATTTGGGGATATTAAGATGGTAAAATTCCCCAGGAGGGCAGTATGGAGGCAGAAGGAAGCCTAGGGTGGGACCCCTCCTCCACACCGGCAGGTTTAGTGATCATCTGAATCTGTCTTTCCATATTTGCACGTTAAAGTGCTGGACGATTATAAACTCCTTCCATTGTGAACAGTGAAAACATTTATTAACAGGATTAGGCTTTTTGGGTAGGTTGGGTTTTATTTGTTTGTTTTGTTGTTATTGATGTTCATTTGACAACAGGCTAGAGTTATCTGGGAAGAGGAACCTCAGTTGAAAAACTACTATTAGATCACCTGTAGGCAAATTTGTAAGGGCATTTTCTTCATTGGTGATTGCTGTGGAAGGGTCCAGGCCACCTTGGGCCATGCCATCCGTGAACAGATGGTTCTGGGGTGGATGAGAAAGCAGGCTGAGTGAGCTATGGAGAGCAAGCCAGTACACAGTGGTTCTCAGAAATCTGCCCCAGTACTGCCTCCAGCTCCTGACCTCCCCACCCCCAACTGCTTGGGACCTGAGTTGTGAGATAAAATGAGCCCATGCTTTTGGTCATGGTGTTTTATCACCACAATAGAAACTCTAACTAAGACAACTTTATACCCACCTCAACTATGCTTTGTGTATGTGTGTCCATATAAATATAATAGGGCAGAAGTAATAACTAACAGGAGGAGAAAAGGGGAACAAAATATGGACAGAAATAATGAAGCACAGTAACAGGTTAAAGTGTAGCAAGAAGTGTCAGCAGTTCAGGCCAGCCTAGACTACACAGTAGGCAAGGCAGCCTGAACTTTACAAGACCTTACCTTAAAACAAACAAAAGCAAACAGATAACAGACAGATTCACTTTGGGGAGGATACAATAGGTATCTCTATGCAAGAGAATTTTTAGAATACAGACCCCTCCTGGCAGACAGAATTGAAGAGACCTTTACAAGTGGCTAGGGAAGGAGTGTAATAACTCCTCCCTCAAAGATCATCTCTGTTCAGTCCCTCACTACTCCCAGCTGGGTCCTGTTGGAAACCACTTTTCAGAACTAGCATGTGTCCCATCTGCAGCACTCCCCTCCGGGCACATATCTGAAGGGTTCTAAGCCCTACCTTGGGGACATTTGCACATCCACATTTTACACAGGAGCTAAGAAATGGAAGCAGCCTAGATATTCATCAATTCAGATAATAATTAGCCAAATTTATTTAAACTGCCAGCAGTCTCTAAGTGTCTTCCAGAGGCAAGTGAAGGAAACCTTTGGCCTTTAAAGGTGAAAACCACAGGGAGTCTTGAATATCTACAAAAGCAAATTAGGGAGGCTTTGCCAAGATTAGGTTTTCAAGGTGACCTCAAAATAGTCCTTAAGCATCTGCATAAGCCAGTTACAAAAGCCCAAATCAGGAGTTAGCTATATCATTATAAGCAAATGGTCACCGCTGCACAGCTTTGAGTGGGAGGTCAAGAAGTCAAGGTTGTCAGGAACTTACCTTTGAGAAAATTGAGGCAGAGACAGGTACCAAAGTGGGCACCTATCACAAAATGGAGTTTCTTTAGCTATCACAGCACACACACACACACACACACACACACACACACACACACACAGGAACTTTATTCAACTCTAAAGAAAATGAAATCATGGTATTTGCAGGGAAAAATCAATGGAATTTGAAATCATTATGTTAAGCATCCCAGACCAGGAAAGGCAAAAATACCTCACAATTTCTTTCACATACAGATCCCTACTTTATTTATTTTAATCTATTTTTGTGTTGGGGGTAACAGGATTTATATGCAAGCAAACAGAGGGATGGAGTGGAGAATGAGAGAAGGCCAGTAATGAAAATAGCATATATGTGGGAATGCCTGAATGAAATCCATTACTCCTCGTGCTGATTTTTGTAAAGTAATTTTTTTAAATTGCAAAGAAGAAACTGAGGCACCAAAAGCTTTTCTGAAATCATGTGACGAATCAGCAGTTCCAGAAAGGTCAGGAGGGATCAGAAGGGTCAGGAGGGGTCAGAAGGGTCAGGAAGACTGATGTGCCTACTACAAAGGGAAAAATAAACAAACAAACAAACAAACAAACAAACAAACAAAGACTTGGAATTATTTAATGCAGAAATGGGAGGAGGAATCTACTTTGACCTTGAGGTGCCTGGGGAGAATTTGTATTTCCTATTTGAACCACTTCTTTGGGAGGACCAGACTGGCCACTGACTCTACTGATCACCCATTTCTTGTTAATGAAATGCGTGAGGGAGGCATTCTGTGCCTGAGCCTTCTGGTTCCTGTGACAATGAAGCCACAGCTGGGATTAACCCTCCAGGTGAGAGTGCAAGCCAAAATGGGGGAGGGGCAGGGCTTTGTTTTAATAAAACAAATTTCCTACTTAACAATGCAGGGTCTCTTACAAAATCCAAGCTCTCTCTAAGCAAGACTGACTGGGAGAAGAAGTTGACCGCTGAGCAGTTCTACGTCACCAGAGAGAAAGGAACTGAAGCGGTAAGCAGAATGACGTACAGTGTTCTAATAGGATGTTATCGAGGTGGGGAGGCTGGAGTAAAGGTGCCTGCAAACCCTCCCATGTGCTCTATGAGAATCCTGTCCACCTCCAGCAGTCTCTGTACTGGTCCATCAGTTGCCACCCACCTGAAGAAACCAGAATCCTTCTCTATCCCTCCGTGTCATTCTTGCTCTCCAAGCTCCAGGCCTGTCCCTGCTCACCACCAGGCCAATCCATCTTGCTGTATCCACACCACTCTTCTCCAGGCTTTCTCTTCCCCTGCCCAAATGAATCTTTGGAGAACAAAGTGGACCATGCTTCTTTCCAGCTCATAATCATTTGGAAGCTTACCATTGCTGTCAAAGTAAATGCACTTAAGTACCAACCTCCCACTGCTTAAAAACACACCTCCCAGCCATGGTCCCTACCTGCACTCCTGCCTCAGAGCCAGCTGTGTTTCCTCTGGCTCCTGCACTATGGTCACACTGTCCTCACAGCAAGCAGATGCTCTGCTTTCTTCCCCTTTAGGCCCCTGTATCTTGGGTTCCTTTCCCAGCCATTTGTCCTGATAATTAATTCAGACCCTCCTTTTAAGATTTGCTATTATATATGTAATATAGATATATGTATATGTATAGTATGTGTGTGTGTGTGCACATATGTGTGTTGGTGCCCTCAGGGTCCTGAAGCTGGAGTTACCAACTATTGTGAACTGCCACTGATATGGATTCTGGGTACCAAACTTGGTTCCTCTGGAAGAACAAGAAAATGCTCTTAATAGCTGAGTCATCTTTCCAATCCCCAGACCCAACTCAATCCAAATTACTTTCTCCAGGAGCCCTTTTCTTAATCCCAGCCTAGGTTGTCTCTTCCAGTATTCTCCATCACAGCAGTGCCCCCTCCCCCACCTCTACCCCCGCCTGGCCCTGTGTTCTGTTTCCTGGTACTTGCTCTGTGCCTGGCTAGAGGAGGCATCCAAAATAGAGATGCTGGTGAATGTTGCCTGTCATAGGCAGACACACCCAGTTGCACTGAGTAGTCTCAGCTTCTGTTCATTTCCTCAGGTGGCAGCATTGTGCTGGCACTGCAGCTCATGACAAGCAGTGGCAGGAACAGATGTAGCCACTGCAGCTTTGCTTTGAGCTGTACCTATGAGATGCTTTCATTTCTGAAGTAGATCCCATGGCAGACCCTGTGTAGTGGTCCTTCAGTGTTGTGGGACCAGTGTATTTGCCTATTGGTACCTGTGCAAAGAGCAGGTAGCTTTGGGCTTTTAAATATGATCACAGGCTCAGTTTCTCTGATGCCACAGCTACTGACAAGTTGGCAGATCCTTATAGATTCTTGTGAAATTTGGGGGGGGGGGAATTATGTTTTTGTCCAACTTCATGTGGGTGAAAATGAAACTGTTTTCCCCATTGTTATCAACAGCACAAGGGAAACACACATGATGCTCTGAGATCCTGTATAATCCCAGAATGTCCTAAGACTAGCCTAATTCCCAGGTAACCAGTCAGGCAGGGTTTGGTGTGTACAGGGAACCTGGAAACACTCTGCCAGATGTTTAGGAGAATAAAGCTGCGGGCTTCTGAAGCAGATGGTGCAATATCCTTTGCATTTGGCCCTCTTTCAAAACGAGCATCATTCATTATTTTAACTAATGTTGTAAATCCCTTCCAGTGGCTCTGTCTCCACATTTAACTTTTTAGAATTGTGCAGAGCTGTAAGCATAAGTCAGCTTCATTAGTTCAAGTGAAGAGCAGCTCCCAAAGCCTCCCTATTGCTGACTACTAATTAAAATTTAGTTGCTCATATTTTTCTTTTTAAATCAGATGATGGTGGGATGTTAGCAGTGCTTGCAGCCAGTGCAAGAATTTGCACCCTGTTTGAGTAATAACCAAGACTCAGACTTTGAGAGAGAGAGAGAGAGAGAGAGAGAGAGAGAGAGAGAGAGAGAGAGAGAATATCCAAGTGTGTCTATCTGGTAGACTCTCAGCAAGTGGATTTGAACATCCCCAGGAAGCTCTCCTCTCTCTCTCTCTCTCTCTCTCTCTCTCTCTCTCTCTCTCTCTCTCTCTCTCTCTCTCTCTCATATGCAGTTAGCACCATGGGGAGTTTCTGAGTTGGTGAATCTAGAGAGATGGGAGAGCTGAGTCCCTGGCAGGGCTGCTACTCTGCCAGCATTCCATGCTTTGAGTCCTGTTGTCTGTGTGGTTGGATAATCCTTGCCACTATGACATGGCTTTTATATTTAGCGTGTGAAAACTCTTTATAATTTTGTGGACTGAGGGGATGGTAAAGGAATTTGACAAAAAATTTTAAAGATCATTCATTTTATTTGTGTGCGTGCATGAATTTATGTGCACTGTGTGTGTGTGCAGGTGCCCAAGGTGGCCAGAAGAGGGCATTAGATATGGACTGCACTCACTCACTGCTTTGATTCCCTTCATAGCCCTCTCAGCAGCTGAAAGCCTGCACCTTCCTTAAACTCCTGTGGATGTAGTGCTTCCATCCACCTGATGACCTAGCACTGGGGCCCTGGCTCATCATTTAACCCTGGTTGACTCTACAGTGTTGACACTGCATGGTGTGTGTTAAAGGCAGAGCCCCAAATTCACTGAACTGTGCTTTTGATGTATTTGTGTTTTCTCTCCCCTTCTTCCTCTCCCTCACCCTCTCCACCCTCTCTTCCTATCAGGGATCAATCTCAGTGTCTGCATACAAGTGAAGAACTCTACCACTGAGCTGTACTCCCAGTTCTTTGTATTCCATCTTTAATTAGAGAGTTCAAAGTGTCTTGGACGAGTGTTTAGACTCCTGTTGCTTTAGCTCTTTTGAAAGGAGAGAGTGAAATCTTCCAGCATGGCAGAGGATGGGACTGGTGTTCATGCTTTTTCATGGACTTTGATGTTCTTGGATGAAAGATGGTACATAAATACAAAGCATTATTAATGTCACAATTTGAATACTTGGCATGATAAAGGCCAGGCTGTAAAGAAGCTTGTAGGCTGCTTCCTTGGTTGAGTGTAGTTTTTCTCTGCTGATATATGCACTTTGTCAAATGAGTATAATTCCTTGATTGGAGGCTTTGTTGTTGGGTTTTTTTTTTTTTTTTTTTTTTTGGTAGTGGTGGGGATTGACCTTACGACATACACTTCAGTACTGAGCCAGCCTCACTCTTTGGTTTGTCTACTTTATCAGCCCCGAGTGTAATGATGTTCCTTCCGTCTTTGCTTTCAGCCTTTCAGTGGGATGTACTTGAACAACAAGGAGACAGGGATGTACCATTGTGTGTGCTGTGATAGCCCACTTTTCAGGTAAGAGGAGGAATGCAAAGAGATCTTAAATAAATACTCTTAGAGTTTCTTAGTTTTTTTTTTTTTTTTTTTTTTTTTTTTTTTTTTTTAGCTGAAGACTGAACCCAAGAGCCTCCTGTGTGCTACCAGCGCCTAGGGACCATTGGTTGCCTTTGTCCTGTTATTACTATTGTGCAGAGAGCTGTTCATGGAGGATCTCTGTCTGTCTTAACTTTTTTCTAATATTTCATTCAGCTAACAGGGCTTCTGTCCCTCATTTATGTATCTCTAAGAGAAAACAAAGTTCTGATGGGGACTTCATGATAAAGCCATTAGGAATTTTTAGAGGGGAAAGTATGTAAAGAAATCTAAACCCTAATAGTATTTGCTTGGCCATATGATTAAAACTGTACCTCTCCCAGGGAAAATGGGTTTATAATTTAATTTAGCAAGCGCGGACTTTTATGAGGCTTGATTCCCCACAGTGCTTGACAGAAGCAAATACTGTGCCCTCTTCTATGTAGCTAAAAGTAAATTTAATTGTCCCTTGATTTCAAAGCCTCTTTTAAGTCAATCAGCATCTAAAATCTTTCAACAAAGGCTTTTTTTGTTTAGATATTCAGGAAATAGTCTTTAAAAAAAAGTAGATTCAAGGAAGAAGAAAGGAAACATCTTTGAAGTCTTGTTTTTCAGAACTTCAAAGATGTTTTCCTTTCTTTTGCATCAACCTTAAATTGGTTTAGAATAAAATATAAATCAAGCCAGTCCTGTGAATCTTCCATTAGGCAGAGCCTCCTTCTGTCCTTTGGGCTTTCAGCAGCCTGGCTTCTTGGCCAGCCTGCTGCTAATGTGAGCTGCATTAGGGAAGCCAGACCCTTCCTGCAAGGACAGGCGTGATTAGGATCGATTTTCCTTCGTGCTCAGGAGGCCAGGCCATGGCCCAGGCATATTGGGGATGGTGAGTACTACCTGGAAGAGCCCACTCCCAGTCAGCAGCCACCAGCTCAGGAGTGCCAGCCAGGGAAGGCCAGGATGAAGTTACTTCTTACATAGCAATGTTGGAAGAACACGTGACTTCCCCGTCACATCACAGCATTCAACAGACTTCTGTGATCCCAAGACGTTTTTTAAGTTTTATTTTTAATTGTGTGGGTGTTCAGGCATGTGTCCATGCATGCTCATGTGTACACAGGTGCCCTCAGAAACCAGAGATGTCCCTTTATCTGGAGTTACAGGCTATTGTGAGCTGTCTGACAAGGATGCTGCCAGCCAAACCTGTCCTCTACAAGAACATCATGTGCTCTTAACCTCCGAGTCCTGACATCAAAACCTGTGAGGCCTTTTGTCTAAGCAAGAAGTCAGCTCCCCAGCAGATGGAGGCTGAGGGCATCCTCCAGTGTAATTCAGATCTGACCTTGTGTACTTGGAGACAGTGTCAGATCCTGGGTAAACAGCTCGGTCCTCATGTCCTGTACTCTACTTCTGATGCCTAGCATACAATCCTGTTTGTGACTATGCTCCTAACCAACCAGCTCTCTCTCTCAGTCAGGCTTTCCACACTCTTCTGTATTCTCTGTTTCTCTTGAGTGGTACCCAGAACTCAGGGAAGCACTTATACTTACCACTTTATTGGAAAGGCATCATTATTAAAATGGTATACACCATTGAAGAGATAAGTAGAATGGGTGCAGGAGAAGTATACTGGGTTCCATGCCCTCTCTGGGTAAATTCTCTAGAAACTTCCATGAGTTCAGTTACTCAGAAACTCACAAGACCCTGTCCTTTTGGATCATGTGGAGTTGTCATTCCAAAATCATGGGCATGGGTGGTCAGCTCCCTTCCCTGCATATTGGGGGTGGAACCGAAAGGTCCTATGCTCTAATCATGCCTTGCTGACGAGTCTCCATCCTGCATCCATCAGCTAAGCTGCTATACTACAAAAAGATATTGTCACTTTGAGGATTGTAAGAATTTTAGGAGTTGCATATGCTAGAAAATGGCAGAAATAACCAAACATGTGGTTCGTTCATGGAATAGCAGCAGTGGAAGGCGAGAGTTGGGTTTCAGAAAAATTAGTTATCCCTTCACCATCATTTCTGCCAAAAGGAGTTGTCAAAGGTTAGGGTGACTAGCCTGCTTTCAGCTGGGGACCTTGTAAAAATGTAAGATTATGTTCTTACTATTTAACTGCTGTATAAGTATCCTGTTTCTCAATTTGGGAGATGAGAAGTCATCCATGTAAGAATGCTTCATCTCTAAGCTTCTGTTGACTCTGTTGGTGTCCTGGTTTCTGTATATTTCCAGAGAAGACCTTCCCACTATCCAATGGTTCTTCTCCCCACACCACCCAGACTCAGTCACAACATCAAACAATAGGGGAACAGAGAGAGAGCAGAATGAAGGGCTCTAGTCAGCAGGACTTGTTATGTTGAAGGACACACTGTCTGCACAGATCTCTATAGGAGTCTTAGATTCCATGTGGCTGTTGGGCATCCAGAGTATAGCCAGTGTAGCCAAGAAACTAGACTTGTAAGGATTTTTAGCAAATTTAAGCTTAATGAGCCACATGTAGCCAGTAGCTACACAATGCTTAGTTAAAATTAAGAAAGTTATGTGGCCAACCCCGAGTCACAGTGAAACAGCCCAAATCCATATGAAATCCAATTGATATTCTGGAAGATTATTTACAAAGTAGCCAGCAGTTAGTTCATGGACCTCCATTGTTTTTTTTTTTTTTTTTTTTTTTTTTGGTTTTCTTTTCAGTCATTTTAGTTTTAAATGCAAAGCCCCCCCCTTTAAAAAGAACTTTTGAATTTTTGTTCCATTTTCTTGATGATGCTCAAGCCAAGAATAAAGAAAATAAGAATTTATCTATCTTGCTTCCTGTTACTATTAAGAACATATCCATTAAGCTTCCTGTTATTATAATAGCACAGGAGCTAATCAGCTTATAAATATTTTGGCTTACAGCCTTGAGGTTCTCAGTGGTGATACCTTATGGTAAAGCAAAACCCCAACTGCATGTCTAGGAACTAAGGGGAGAAAGGAAATGCCAGGCTCCCACAGTCTTCTTCAGGGACATGCCCCTGCACGTTCCATCTCTTACCAGTTCCACACTTGCCAATAGCACCAAGCCTTTCACACTTGGGCTTTAGGGGGAGGCATTTAACACCAAAATCAAAGAAATAACAATCAGTTCCATTCTAGAGCACACTGTCTTAAAAGAGCATCCATAGTAGTGTGGTAAAGGTAAAGGTGTCAGTCCCATTGTTGGGTTACCTTGGGTAAGTTTCTTAATGTCTCTCTGCTTTGGTTTCCTCATTGACCTGTAAAATGAGAATACAGTGTATCCAGTTCATAGGGTTGTTGGGAGAGTTAACTAAGTTATGAGTTAGTAGATGTAAACACATCAGAGCAAGGTGTAACACCTACTAAGCACTCCAGACATGCTAACAATGATGTATTCTTAGAGATAAACCCTTCTCAGGGATGGATACTAAGTGTGCATTTGACAATGAGGGATTCTGGAAAATATGTTCTAATCAGTGAAAAGATATAAGTGAAGACTGCATTATGAAGTATTCTTTCTCAAAAAAATATTTTTGAACACTTTACTATTTTTATATGTATGTGGGCATGCGTGTCTATACACCACATGCACCAGTTCCCATGAAGATTGGAAGAGGGCATCAGATCCCCCAGGACTGGAGTTACAGATGGTTGTGAGCTGCATGTCGATGCTAGGAATTGAACCAAGGTCCTCTGGAATAGCACCAAATCCTCTTACCTGCTGAGCCATCTCTCCAGCCCTTCATTGAGCTTTCTTACCATTCAAGAGGATGGTGTTAGGAGTACATTCTTGTTTTCTCTCTCATATTAGCTCTTTATTGCTAATCTCAAGATTCTTTTGTAGGAAGCAGGGGTACACAAATGCCATTCCTGCAAATGTTTGTGTAGAGTCAGAATGAAATGAAAAGTTTGTCAACAGAAAATGAATCTTAGAGATACTAGGAGGTAAATTCAGGAACCCTGACTTCTTTGGTGGCTTCTTCTGCAGGCTGGTAGTCATGCTGTGTGCACTCTGGGATGTGCTCACTCCTGCTGTGTACTGATTTAAATTCGTTAGGGCCTGGGTTTCTCCATGAAGCCTCCTTGAAGAAACACACTGCAAAGCCTGGCTTTGTTTTCTAAGTTCCTGATACTGTGTCAGCATGCAATTCAGAGCTTAAGGGCTTCCTATTGACCCAAACATTTTATTTAGTGAAGGAGATAAAGCTGATAGGCTGTGTGAGGCCCGTGGCCAGTTAATTTTATGTACATACATCATGGGTTGAATTGTGTGTCCTGGTTAGTTTTTATTGTTGATTTAACCCAACCAAGAGCCACCTGGGAAGAAGGGGTTTTAATTGCCTAGGCCAGATTGGCCTGTGGACACATTTGTGGAAACTGTCTTGATTGATGATTAATGTGGGAGGGCCCAGCCCACTGTTGTCTATGAGTAGCACCAATCTCAGGCAGGTGGTGCTGGGTCAGATGAGAATTTAAGTCTGAGCACAGAGAGAATTTGCAGCAAGCAACATTTCTTTTTCCATGTTCTGGCCCTGACTTCCTTCAGAGTAGATGGATTGTGGCCTGGGAGTTCCCTATGTTCCTTTCGGTCAGAGAGTTTTATCACAGCAACAGAAAGGCCAATTAGAGCATCATGACTTTGAGGAAAATAGTTGAATCCTTCATCTCCAGAAGCTGTGAACGTGACCTTAGGTGGAAATACCGTCACTGCAGATGGAATTTGTTGCAATCAGGTCATACTGAAATTGGATGCTCCTTTAATCCAATATGACTGGTGTCCTAGTAAGAGGAGGAGAAACAGGTCCAGAGAGGAGACTGCCACATGACATGGACACAAAGAGTGCAGCAATGGAGAGGTTTGCCAGCCACTTCCAGATGCTAAGAGGAGGCAGCACAGAGGGGCTTGCTGGGTCCTTCTAGAGGACACAGCCCTTCCCTGCTGAGATCTTGGTTTTGGGCTTTCAGCCTTCAGAACCCTAAGAGCATCCCACCTCCTTTGTTGCAGCTTTGTTACCACCACCCCTGGAAGCTAACGTGATGTGCTCAGAACAGGTTTCTTGACTCATTCATCCATAGCATCCTCTCTGCTGCTGAGCATCCCCAGTAATGTGAATGCACCCGAAGACTTCAGTTATGAAGCCCCCATGGATGTGGAACAGAAATCATAATTTCTGAATTCTTTTTAGAAAATGTTTTTATTTTTATATATTTTAACTATCAGTATATGCATTTTTGTACACATCTGAGTACAGTACTCACAGAGACCAGAAAAGTGTATCCAACCCCCCTGGAGTTATTGCTGTTTATGCTGTCAGAGAAAGAAATGTGCTTTAACTGCTGAGACATCTCTCTAGCTTCTTGGATACTTGTCCTAAGCACTGGGGTCAGTACAGTGCAAGCTGTCACCTGCAGGGACATGTAATAAATAGATGTGGAAACTGATATTTCGAGTCTTTAAAGGACTTGCTCCACACCCTTGTCAGTATACTTTGTTTTGTTGAGACAGAACACCTGATGTTGAATGCTTTATTGAGCCAGGCCTCAGGAGGCTGAGATGTCTGAGAGGATGGTGCCACATCCTCGTGGGGACTAGTGAGGGCTTCCTGCCTTTCAAGACAGAAGGTCAAAGGGTGAGTAAGCACATGAAGATAAAACACAAGAGTGGCCTTGTTTTATCAACTAGCTCTCTTGTTAACTGACCCAGGCCTGTGAGAACTTCAGTATTCCCTCTTAAGGCCTAATCACCTCTCAACACTGCCACATGGCAAGGAACTTTCAGCTTAAATTGAAACCATGTTCAGACCCCGGGAGCCATACTTCTGTTAAATGCTAGCACTGAGCTCATGTTCCACAGGAGCTGGGAAGTGTGTCAGCACTGAGGGCACTGCCTGCCAGAGCTCTCGGGGGCTCTCCGTGGTGGTCTCTTTTCATGTGAGGAACTGAAGCCTGCCAAGGATACCCAGGATTCCACAGCTACCAGCCTTCCACTAGGCCACACTTTATTACCCAGGCCACTCAGACAATGTTTTTATGGTGGTGTCTTCACCTTCTGGTGCTAGCCTTTTAAATCACAGCTGGAGGTCCCTAGGTCGATACTACCTGACTCTAAAGGTACCTCGCAAACTCCCTTTCCAGAGCCTGGTTCCCAGCCACTCGTGGCAGAGCTCCCATTGTCCTTCCAAGGTTCTGCCTTGTTGCAGTGAGTGGTGCCAATTTGTGGAATTTTGTCTCCACTAATCTGAGAACCGAGTTGAGGGTTACCAAGCCAACAATACTTTCCAGCATGTCACCACTCCCCTATAGATCCAGAATCATCTTGTTAGCCTGATGCCACTCTGGTGCCACTGCCTCCTCTACCTCCCTTCTCCCCCTAGCCCCCATAAACTCTTCTGGAAGGGTTTGTTTCCAGGAGTGGTGGAGCATATCTGTAGTCCATTGACCAGGAGGCTGAGGCAGGAGGAGCTAGAGTTCGAGTTGCCAGACTGGATTATGCAGTGAGACCTTACCTAAAGAAAAACTATTTCAAGATTATGTATCTTATTGCCATGAATCTTTCTTAAAATAGGAGCATTTGGGGAGTCTGATTATATATATATTTGCACCCTGATATTCTGAATGTCCCAAGTAACATGGTAATATTGTTTAAAACTTCATGTATCCATGTTCAGAAATGGATGGGAATACTACTGTTACATTTAGAATTATCACTGATTATCCCCTGCTTCTGCTGTTGCTTATGAGGGGACTAACTGTAGAATATTCAGAAATGAGGACAAAATAAATATAGGAGGACAAACTCAAAAATCAGATGCCAAAAGAAATAGAAAAAGGAAGGGAGGGAGGGAGAGAGGGAGAGAGGAAGGAAGGTAGGAAGGAAGGAAGGAAGAAAAAAGTAAGCACTGTCTCCGAGTGTCAGAGTGTACAATGTGAGTGAGCCATGTAGCCTGCTAATCCATTAAATCTGAATCCTGAACTTTCTAGTTTGCCTTCATACTTAGACTGTTGGTCTCAGATCATCTTATATTACTTGGTAAAATCCCCACATTTCTACCAATTCCATCAGTAAAGGTTTATTGTTTCCCATAAAGCCAGTTAATGATTTTTTATTAGCCTTAGATTCATTTGTCGATTTTTAAAAAGCTTTATTGCATTCATAGTTCTTTATCAAAATCCCTTTAGTAGTTAGTAGTGTATATAATGCCAAGGGCAGGAAGAGGCAGGAGGTGCTGAGGGTTTTTTCCTGAAATAAAGTGTCTGGGATATCCAGGTGAATTCATTCTCTCTGTCTCTCTGTCTCTCTCTCCTCTCCCATGCTAAGGATCAAACTCCACCCTGTGCATGCTAGGCAGGTGCTCCCATACTATCTTTCACAGTAATCTCAAGTGAATATTTTTACAGAGAAACCAACCCAAATATATAGCTGCTTTTAACTGGACTCGGGGTCACTCATATTCCATAAGTATATGTTATTGGCAATAATAAATTAATTAAAAGTGACAGCATGTAGCATGTATCAGGCCCTATTCTAAACATGTCATATGGCCAGACACCTCAGTAATTCTTCCTAGCAACCTTGGGAAACCATTATGTCACTATTGCCCCATGCTTCATGGCTTGGTAGCACCAGAGGATCAAATAATGCTTTCAGGTTACAGATGTAATGGAGTATGGCTTCCCACCAAGACTTTTTGGAAGTCAAGCCCTTACTCCAGAGATTTCTCAAAAAGCATCCCCAAGGCTTCCTGAGGTATTTCTAGGGGATCCACAAGGTGCTATGACTTGAGACTTGTGCTAAGTGTACCCTGTACCTTGAGCCACAGCTCACTCCAGCCCCTCTTCATTTTGTGAAGAACATTCAGTTAGAACAGCCTCTGGCTAGAGTGAATGCAGAGACACAGATACCGGTTTATCTAAATGCTTTTTTTGACCAGACAATAAAAATATTTGGAAAATTGGGAAATAATGCAATCCTTCTCATGAAGTATGTGGTTGATTCTAGAAAATGTAATTGCCATAAAATGTTGTTAATATCTAAAGAATTTACTATGTGTTGAAATGAATATAGATCAAGTATGGTGATACATGCTTATAGTCCCAGCCCTTGGGAAGCTGAGGCAAGAGCATGAGCTCAAGGCCATCTTGGGCTACATATGAAACTGTCACAAAAAGAAAGTATTATAGTACTTACATGTTTTAAAATTCCAAGTCATGGTTCACACGTATTAAATACTGGTATTTGTAACCCATACTGAAGTGCTTGAGGACTCTTACTAATTTGGGGGTAGAGAGGAACCCTGAGACCACATGTTTGCATTCCTGTCGTGCTCCTGTTCCTGATGAGGCTGTGTGTTCAGCTGAGCTAGACATTTGATTCTTCATTGCTCATTTGTCCAGTTTTAGGCAGGGTTGAGCTTCAAGTCATTTCTTCTTTAGGTGGAGAGGATCATCTCATGCTGTCTGTAATTTTACGTTTATTTTCCTGATGTGGTTTGCAGGCACTTCTCCTGTGTGAGGTCTAAGACAAAACTCTGGGAAACAAATCCAGGACCTTGTGTGCACTAAGCAAATGCTCTACCACTGAGTTGCAACCTGCCTGAGGGGGAAGTGTTCTGGGAGCAGGTCCCCACTCTTCAGCCTCTTGGCCCACTCCAGTGATTAGCATCCTTTGTCCCCAGGAGACCACCCCAAGCATCAGGCTTTATCCAGTGATTAGTCAGAGTGCCAGGCTAATTGATTAATGACAATAATCACAGTGAGTGCTCCTGAGCACCTGCCACATGCCTCACTTTCCACCTGGCTAAGTCCTTAAGTCCTCAAAGTGCCCTTGCAAGGCAAGTATTACTGTCCCCGGTGAGGGACCCACGTAGCTTGCCTAACTTCACACCTCTAAGATGTGGCACAGGAGCTTTCATTCTCTAGAACAGGCAGCCTGTGTTCCGACAATAGAAATCTCCATTGCTACAACTGCTGTTTCATTAGAGCTTACACCTTAGTGCCTCCATCATGAGGACCTCCCCCACCACTGTCCTTCCTTCTTAATCTCTTACTTTTCTGCCTTTTCAGTACATGGGTTTAATTTGTGGTTCCTCATATGCAAACGAGTTCACATAGCCTCAGTGGTTTTAGTTCTTTTAGGTCAGATGTAGAGAAAGAAGACATTAATATCCAAGGAACAAGACTCCTTTCACTATAGCCAGACAATGTCCTGAACAGCAAAGGGGCAGCAGGAACAATTCCCTGGAAGTGACTATTCACGAAGCCCAGCCTGGGATCTGGCAGAGGGAAGTGGGATTCTAGTCCTGGTCAGAACAAAGGGATGGAGTTCAAGAAGCTCCTGATACGCCAACAGCCATGTGTCTAATGGCTGTGAGTCTGCAATGTCCTCTAACCACTGTGTCTGACTGTCCTCTGACCCCTGTCTGTGTCTGACTGTCCTCTGACCCCTGTCTGTGTCTGACTGTCCTCTGATCCTTGTGTCTGACTGTCCTCTGATCCTTGTGTCTGACTGTCCTCTGATCCTTGTGTCTGACTGTCCTCTGATCCTTGTGTCTGACTGTCCTCTGACCCCTGTCTGTGTCTGACTGTCCTCTGACCCCTGTCTGTGTCTGACTGTCCTCTGACCCTTGTGTCTGACTGTCCTCTGACCCCTGTGTCTGACTGTCTCCCACAGTTCTGAGAAGAAGTACTGCTCTGGCACTGGCTGGCCATCATTTTTTGAGGCTCACGGCACAGAAGGCTCCGATGAGAGTCACGCAGGAATCCTGAGACGACTGGACACTTCCTCAGGACGTGCTCGCATGGAGGTGGTCTGCAAGCAGGTGATGTGTTTGCTTCTTGGATATGAAAGAAGCAGTCCTTTCCTTGCTGCCTCTCTTGTTCTTCCATGGTGTGCTTTGCCATAAAAATGCCCCAGACTTGTACCCACAACTGCGGTGATCTCTCTCTCCAATCACCAGGCACTAAAGATGAAGTTGGCATCTTTCCACCTCCTTCCTGCTTGGCAGCATGCCACCAACAGGCAGATTCATTAGCACCTTACTTCTAGAGCTTGAGGAAGGGGAGCTTAGGTCTAGACAGAAAACTTGGCTTTGTATTTTATTATTCTTGTTGTTATTATTATCATCATCATTATCATTACTATTATTATTTGTGTGTGTGTGTGTGTGTGTTCAAGTACGCAAACACCAACACCATGGCACGTGAGAGGAGGTCAGAGGACAACTTTCAGGTGTCAGTTTTCTCCTTCCCCATGGGTTCTGTGGATTAACTCAGCTTGCCAGGCTTGTACCTCAAGTGCTTTTATCAGCTAAACTCTCTTGCTAGCCAAAGGAGATTGATTTTTATGTTCTTTGGTGCTCATGTTTTCTGATGCATGGAATTTATAAGCTGGCAGAGGGTAGCAGATGAAAAGGGTTAAGTTTTGTCTGCAGGAAAGAAGAGTGATTGTTGAGTGCTCACCCAGATTGTATTAATCCTTACCCGACTTGTGCTCATTTGTCTTCAGAATGGTTTTGATGTGTAGGTAAGGTTATGATCCCCATCTGATAGATGAGCAAGTCAAGGCCTAAGCTTAATCATTTGTCCACATTCTCACTGGGAAGGTAGAACTGCTTACTGCCACAGGTCTCTGTGTATGTCCACTTGTCCATTTTTGAACCAAATTTTAATACAAAAGACCATGCTTCCAAACTGCCAGGTTCTGGGCGTGGGTGGGCCTTGTGGAACTGTTTCCCTGGAGAGTGACAAGGGTGTCTCTCCCCTGTAGTGTGAAGCTCACCTTGGCCATGTGTTTCCTGATGGACCTGAGCCCACTGGCCAAAGGTTTTGCATCAACAGTGTGGCCCTGAAGTTCAAACCAAGCAAGCACTGACATCTCCAGGAGGCCCACGCTTTGCTCTCCATCTTGTAGAGCCTGGTTCTGTAATTCAGATGGATGCCTTGTTTCGTTCACTATAAATTTAGGCTAAGGTTGTTGCTGGCTGCATAGGAGCCACAGCTTCTTAGTCACCTGAAAATAACTCAACCCCAGCTTCCTCGTGGGCTGTGGGATCTCAGAATAACAGAAAGGCAGCCCATTCTTCAACTGGCTGCCAAGGTTTTTGGTAGGACCTTTGCAGGATTTGAACAGGTTCCTGAGCTGACAAGGGTTCCGCAAACACCCAAAGTAAGAACCTGAATTGGCCATAGCAGTTCGTTCCTTCATAGATGTACACAGGTGAGGAGAGCTCAAGGGGGAGAAAACGGAAAGGATGGCATAGGAGGGATGAGATCCCTGCACTGAAATGGAGGATGGGAGTGGCCGAGCATGGGAAACACATCCAAGGATGGATGGGATTTGCTGACTCAAACGTTTGACTTCCAATCTTACAACTCACAGATGGGATCCATGGGAGCTGACTCAATTTCATTGACTGCAAATAATGCTCTCCCTCAACCCTTTGCTCCAACAGTAAATTTCAAAATATTCAAATAAAATACTGAGATTGTCTGTCTGTCTATTGAATTGCTCTTTTGTAAACATGACTCTGAATCAAAATAACAAACATTCCAGCAATTGAACACACCAGATAATATCCACACAGATGGTTTACAAATAGGGAATCATGAATTATTTAAATAAATCTTTTTGGGTTGTTGGAAACTTAGGTACCCCGTTTCATTCTTCCAATTTGCTTTACATTATTTGAAATTTTATTTACTAACTCATGCAAATCATGACTTCTTTTGGCTTCTAAAAGAATGCTAACTTAGATAACAGATTCTAAAAGAATGCTTTCCCAGAACACCAATGCCATTACTTTGTGTTACCATGGCCAAGTGACTCAATTTTACATACATATTATGTAGTACTAACCTCAGAACCATGCAACCACCATCTTGGAGCATTTGTTTGTGCCAACTTGGAGTTGATCATCTCAGTTGGGCCTGTTGACTGTTTAAGTCCCCTCACAAAGGAGTGGGGAGGGTCAGGAGACCTCTCATTTGTTATATGCCCTAACTGGATGTGGCCTAGGGAGGGGCTAAAGTGTATAGCTCACAGAAGGGAGGGGGCACTCCAGCTACACTGCTGGTGAAGCTTTTTGAGAGAGAAATAGACCCCTATAAGTAACCCCTCACTTATGTTCTGAAAGGAGTGTGGAGGAATTACACCTAAATTTGTCACTGAGCCCTTAGGAAGAGGAGGTGATGTTGTTTTTTGTCTCCCTCTGTAAAAGAATTTTATCAGCAACACGCTTTTTAAAATACAGTTTGGTAAGGCTGTGGACACTCATGCCTTGATGTACACATGAGGCTCAGAAGATAACTTGCTGGAGTTGGTTCTGTCCTGCTATCACATGGTTCCAGGGGACAAAATCAGGACATCAGACTTGGCAGCAAATGACTTTGCCCATTAGGCCATCTTTTCCACCCTAGATTTTCATGTGTCTTAGTCAGTGTCCAATTGTTGTGAAGAGACACCATGACCTTGACAATTCTTAGAAAGCATACGTTTTCAGAGGTTTGGTACACTGTCCTCATGGCAGGGAGCATGGTGGTGTGCAGGCAGACATGGTAACTGGGAGTTCTATTTCGGGATCTGAAGGCAGTAGGAAGAGAGGAGAAGCTGAGAGTTCTATATCTGGACCTGTAGGCAGCAGGATGAGAAAGATACTGGGCCTGGCTTAAGCGTTCGAAACCCCAAAGTCACCCCAGTGACATACTTCCTCCAGCAAGACCACACCTATTCCCAACAAGGCCATAGGTACTCCAACAGGCGATAAGTCCCAATTCTTTCAAATAGCCCTGCTCCCTGTGAGCCTATGAGGCACTTTTTGTTCAAAAAACCACATCACATGACACTCTGTAATTATTATTAATGTGTAACATTATATATACCTGCATATTTGCCCTGTTTATTGCTTTTTTAAATTGCATGCTTTTACTTTTCGTGTGTGTGTGTGTGTGTGTGTGTGATACATACATTCATGTGTGTGCAGACGTCAGACGGACATCCCGTGTCCTGCTACATCACCTCCACTTCCTCCTCTGAAACAGAGTCTTTTGCTGAACCTGGAGCGAGGCTTACATTCAACAAGCCCCAGCGATGCTCCTGTCTCTCTCCCCCACGGCCCCTGAGTTACAAGTACACACCAGGAAGAAGGCACACACCGCTTTTAATGTGGTTCCTGAGAGCCGAGCAGATCCTCATGCTGTGTAGCAAGTGCTGTTGCTGTTCTTGCTACACCGCGCCCCCAGCACCCAGAGTCCATGCTTCATGCTGCCGGGTGAGATTGGCTTTCAGTTGCCTGAAGAACTTTGTTTTTCTTTTCACTTGCGCTTCCTTAGTTTCTGGGCTTTGTAAAATGTATTACTTCTTTTACACCTTTCCACTCACCCTCCTGCCTTCACTTGCCCAGCTCTTGGTTTTTGAATAAAGTTCAGCTGCTAAAGTGTACGAAATGTGTCATTTTCTTCTTGCTGTTTTCAAGGTTTGCTCCCTATCGTTGGATTGCAGTTTTCCTAATCTGTGTGTTCTGCTGTAACAAAATACCACTGGCTGGGTAATTTATAAAAGAATAGGGTTTATTTCCCTGCTGTCCTTGTAGAAGCTGAGAAATCCAAGATGAAGGTCCCAGCAAGTTCTGATTCTAGGGGCTATCTGTCCTGGGTACCAGGATGGTACCTGTGTGGCTGTGACATCTTCACAAGGTAGAAGGCAGAAGCGTAGAACCAGGGATCTGGATGGATGGTGATACAGAAGAGACTGAACGGGACTAACCTGAATCCTTGAGGCCTTGCATGAGAGCTACTGTCTCATCCCTGGGGGCTTCCCTCCATAGTTAGTCACGTGTTAAAGGGTCACCCCCAATAAAAGCTTAACATAAAAACTGGGGGCATTTGGGACAATTTGGTAAATTGGTGTGGATGTCTTATTTTTTTCTGCTTTGTATCTACAAGTCTTTGTCTTTTGTCCAACGTCAAAGCCTTCGTTGTTTATTCACGTCTCTTCAGCACCCCATCTTTTTCTTGCATCATGGACACACAGATCTTAGCCACTGCTGTGGTCTAGCAGCTTGCCAACCTTCTGTTGTCCAGTTCCCTTTTCTCAGTCCCTTTTTCCCCAACTCTGTTCTTCACCTTGGGTTGTTTTCATTAATCTACCCTCACATTCTCATATTCTTTCTGCCAGAGCTATGTGGTTTGGGGAGTAGTGAGTACGTTTTATTTTAGATCCTGTATTTTCTTAGTTTTCAATTATGTCTCTGTCTTCTACACTGTTTATATCTTTGTTGGGGCTCCCTGCCACACTGCTGATATTCTGAAGTATTGAAAGAGTGGTTTTGTGTTATTTCATTGAGGGAGCTAGAATAGCCAGCTCAAAACCCTCACCTGTTAGATCCAATCCCAGGTTCATCTGACTTTCTTTTCTGTTGACCATGCTTCCTGGTTGTTGTTCTGTGTTTGTCTTTTTCCTTTATGTATCATGTGATTTTGTGTAGTTCTCTCCCTCCATAGTCTCATAGGTTCTGAGGATCAAACTCAAGCTGTTAGACTGTGACGGTTGTGACACTAGTTCTCAATCTGTGGGTCATGACCTCTTTGGTAAGCCCCTATCTTCAAATATATTTACATTACAGTTCATAACAGTAGCAAAATTGCAGTTATGAAGTAGCAGTGAAAATGGTTTTATGGTTGGGGTCAGCACAACATTGAGAACTGGATTAAATGGCCACAGCATTAGGACGGTGGAGAGTCACTGGAGACTGGCAAGTGTCTTTGCCTGCTCAGCAACCTCTCCATTCGCTTGTGTAATTTTGGATTACTTGCTGAGTGTCATAGAGGTCAATTTGTGGAGACTGAATTCATAGATTTTTTTTTCTAAAGAGTGTTGTCTCCTTTATGTGAGCAGATAATATTCTTAGCTAGACTTGAATTATGAAAAAAAATTAAAACTCCTTTAGTCTTAATTAAAACTGCAGGTTTTGCTGTCTTTATCTTGGCCACTTTGAGCTGGCAACAAAAAGGTTAAAATTGTGGATTTTATCCTATCTTATTTTTTTCCCTTGTGAGATTCCTTTGTCTCTTTGTAGTGTTTATAGTTTCCTGGCTTTACTTTCCTAGTAGTCCAGATCAACCCGGTTACAGGTATTCTCATGGTGCCCCTCATTGCTACTCTGTGCATCACACAAACTTCATTCAGCTGTGGTTCTGGTCTGGACAGGTGAGAACAGACTGGCACTTCCCACCACCCATCCCTCTAGAGGGTACAAACTCCTGTCTGTCACCATCTGCTTCTGTTACCCATTTTTATTTCATATTGTTCTGCAAAAGCACACCTGGAAAGACCCAACCACTAATGTCAGGAGTGGAAATGTATGGTTTTCTTTTTCCAGTGTGATGTTCCTACACTCACATTGGGTTTTGTCAATAAGGCCATCATACATTGAAAATACCAGGGGTCAAAAAAAAAAAAATGCATTTAGAAGACCTGAACTGAATAGCTGGGCATGGTGGTGCATACCTTTAATCTGGCACTGGAAGGCAGAAGCAGGTTCAAGGCCAGCCTGATCTACAAAGCAAGTTCCAGGACAGCCAGGGACACACAAAGAAGCCCTATCTTGAAATACTAAAATAAATAAAAGACCTAACTGAATAAACATCACTTATTATATCAAATTATGGCAGACACTATGAATTAAAGAAACATAGTATAATAAAAACATGAAAGACCATGATTTCAGAGGAAACAATGAAGCTATCTAATTGTTTTAATAAAAAAAGATAAAATATTTATGTAAGAATATATGTGATATGTTTGGCTTTTGTTTTATGACATTATACCTGAAATTAAGAGCAGGAAGGAAATATTTTGGTTCATGGTTTCAGTCCATGGTGACAACAGAGATGTGTGATAGTGGTTTTTGGTCTCCTGTTAAATAGGAAGACACCAAAGGAACACAGACTCAATGTCCTATTTCCTCCAACTACACCCCACCTCCTAAAGTTCCTACCACCTCCAAAATAAATGCCACCAGCTAGGGACCTAAGCTTCAGCACATGGCTCTGTGAGGAGCACTTTATATTTGAAATATGACATAATAGAAAATATAAATTAACATGTACTCCATAGAGCTCAGAGGAAATGGTTGGAATATATGATTTCTGTAGAAAGTATTAAAATTTCTGTAAAAGGTGTTGTGAAATAGCTGAGTGCTAGAGAATATGCTAAACAAAGATGTGTGAAGTCCTGTGGTAATTTCCCCCCACCCCAGTAACACAAAAAGTAATAGCGGAGTAGGCTAGCATTTATAGAGCTACTCAAGGTTCCTCCACCAGCTGATTGAATACTGGAGACAATTTAGAAATTTGTTGTTTCAAGATTCTAGTAATCCCTTGACTGTGGTGTGTGTGTGTGTGTGTGTGTGTGTGTTGTATGTGTGTGTGTGTGTGTGTATGAGAGAGAGAGAGAGAGAGAGAGAGAGAGAGA